GTTTTGCTGACTATTCTGTAATTACTTAGTTTATCCCTTCCTGTTCTTTTAATCAATAGTAAGGGGCAGCACGGTGGCTCAGTGGTTAGCACTGCTGCCTCACAGCGCCAGGGACCAGGTTCAATTCCACCCTCGGGCAACTGTCTGTGTGGAGTTTGCACATTCTCCCCGTGTCTGCGTGAGTTTCCTCTGGGTGCTCTGGTTTCCTCCCACAGTCCAAAGGTGTGCAGGCTAGGTGGGTTATAGGGGGATGGGTCAGGGTGGGATGCTCCTAGGGTTGGTGTGGACTTGTTGGGCTGAAGGGATTCCACAGTGTAGGGATTCTATGAAGTATAACATGAGGAAATCCTTGAGTACTGTGGGATATGCCTCTGGAGGATTGGAAAATGATGGTCAGAAGTTTCACAATGCCCTTTGTTCAGTAGCCTGTGATAACTTTCATCTGCGCCTGGCAAATTATTAATTGTCAATGTTGCTACACTCTGTTTATTATTTTTGTTCCCACTAAGTTCATCTCATCCCAATAGAGCAACAATGGACCATATTAAATTTATCCTATTTCATGTAGCTCAGAGGTACTTATGTAATTTTGTACATTATTGAGTAGATCCTATTGCAGTACTTGTATTGGAGTATTTAGGGATGTAGCTACTTCTCATGTGCAGACCATGAGTCCCAATGCAGGAATGTTATTGGGACTAGTTGCATTTGCTGCCTACAGCGCATCCTATTGCTCCTAAACTTCACTTGGAATAAATCAAGTTGGCATTGATAGTTACATTGAGGACCTTGGGAGCAGGCCATTTTGGAATGTCCACTTGACACTTTGAGTTAATGTCATTTGTAAATACTTCAACAATAGTATTCTGCAGTATTTATTTAGTACTGAAGTACCAACATTTAATTTTTCCTGTCTAGTTTTGATCATACTACAAGCTGGTATTATTCTCATTTGTTGTTTAACCTTCCCCATCCCCCAGGTTGATAATTGGTGAAATCGATTCCTTAGACAATTATTTCAGTTGATCAACACACATTTGGAATTAATAAATGATCAAAATGATGAGTAGGAGCTCCTGAGAATATTTAGACATCGGGATGTAATTTTCCCAACCCCTGAAAGATGTGGACCTTGGTTAGAAAGTTGGAAAGCGTGGACCTTCTTGAAAATGAAAAGTCGAGATTCTCACTAGTGACTGGCATGAGGCCTACGTGCATGGATTACCACTCATTAACAGCCTCATTATTATTTCATCTCTCCAAATGAATATGCAACTTCCCATTCTCCCAACTGCTGGATAGAAACAGGATGCAGAGAATTACCGACATGAAATCCAGGCAGGTACCACCAGCTGTCTTCCCAGACTCTCAGACTTGTTGTGCTGGATCCACAGGGCTGATCATGGGCTACCAACCCGCACCACCCCCACCCCTCCACCCCCTTTTCAGGCTGTAGAAGTATGACCCCTCACTGTAGCCACCCCTAGTGGCTGAATGACCATATCCAGGCCCCTGGCCTGATATCAGAGGCTGCCCTTGGCTTAATTGTACTAGGACCATCCTGCCTGAAGGCCGTCATGCTCGACCTGACTGAGGACCAGAACTCCAGCTCACCGTTTGCTCCTGCGAACCTCCATCTTAGACACCTGGCACCAGCGCCTCAGAGCACACTCCTTGTGCAGCGATCATACAAGCTCCATGACCACAGACATCGGCATAGAATACGTTCCAGCCTCACCACATCATCATGGCACATGGAGTATGATTTTGCACTTCAACACTGCCCTTTTGGAGTGTACCAGTACCTCTCATTGCAGTGCTTTTGTACGCAAGGACAGGCACCCTGCTCACGGTTTTGACCTGGTGCATTTTTAAGAAGCTTCCTAGCTTCCTCGCTCCCTTAACGCTCTCTGGATTTGTGCCTACACACCAACACTGCCTTGCCTTTTTGCACTTTGTCACCACAGCCTCATATTTCACAGTACCTTTTGTCTTGCTATGCCGCTTAATGCAAACAGAAAGCCGATAGCTTGTCGTGGTTGTCAGTAGTGATCAGTGAAGGGGAGTAGATGTGTTGTTGTGCAGCATGTCAATCTCACACATGTACCACATGTCTGCCACATACGCAGTGAACAGACTGCATGAGCATCAAGCAAATGGCCATGTCTCAAGTCTAAAGGAGCTCTGGTCCTCAGTCAGGTCGAGCATGACGGCCTTCAGGCAGGATGGTTCTAGCACAATTAAGCCAAGGGCAGCCTCTGATATCAGGCCAGGGGCCTAGATATGGTCATTCAGCCACTAGGGGTGGCTACAGTGAGGGGTCATACTTCTACAGCCTGAAAAGGGGGTGGAGGGGTGGGGGGTGCGGGTTGGTAGCCCATGGTCAGCCCTGTGGATCCAGCACAACAAGTCTGAGAGTCTGAAAAGACAGTTGGGAAGCTGTACAGATATCTGACAGAAATCTGCCTGTATGATGTTATTGTTGGTTTTCATTCAACTGAGCATATGTAATAAAAGCAAAAATGCTGGAAACTCTCAGTAGGTCAGGCAAAATTTGTACAGAGGAGAAGGTCATGTCAGTGTTTTAGGTCAGTGATCTTTCAGCATAAAACTGAAGTGTTAACCCTATCTTCCTCTTTCTACTGGCATTGCCTGATTGGCTGAGTGTTTCTAGCAGTTTCTGTTTTTATCTGTGCTATGTTGCATTATGAACATCTGGAGGCCATCATTTTGGATCCCTGCTTTGAACTCTGTTCTCTGGTTACAGGCTCCAGCCGATTGTGTCTGTGAGAGAACCAAAATTTTGTTTCATCTCAAACTAAGTCCATCAGCCGTTGCTGAGTTCCAGTTCTGCAATATTGCCTGCCTCTGCCCCTCCCTCTTTCTTATCACCACTGTAATTTAGCCGTGCATTAATCATCCATATGCATGGTTTTATCCATTCCACTCCTCCTGGCCTCCCATCCACCACATTAATTCCCAGTTGCTACTTCTGACCTCCTTGCTCTCGTTTGTGTGACTTGCTCTGTTAGCTCCCATTGGTGACAGAATTTCAGTCTCATTGGGTTCTTCTTGCTGGTGTTTCTCTGATAAACCCTTTCCTATTACAGTGGACCAGAGAGAGAGTGCTGTACAACTGGAGATCCAAACACCAGATGACAAGTTAAACTGAGGCCTTCTCTTCCATATTAGATGTGCATTACATATTCTGAGACATCACTTGAGGTGCTGGGGAGTTATTCCTCACATTTGACAAACATTTAATCCTCAACCATTATCGTTAAAACAATTGTGACTTCTTTTATCTCATTGCTGTTTGTTGCTGTGTGGAAATTGGTTGCCAGGTTTCCCACTAACGACTGTTTAGAAAAACCTTTTTTTCAGCAATCTATTATGGTGTCTCCGTAGCCATCACATCCATAGATACGACTTGAGTCTTTTGTCACTATGACTGCGCCATAATGGATGTGAAATTCTTTGGTTGGGAAAGACAGTAGATATAAATACTGTAGAGATACAGGTCCAAACTGCCTGATTAGTTTACATACTGAGGTGCTGATATTGAAAAATAGGAGTCTTTTTAATAATAATTTTTAAATATAGCAACTGTCAACAATCTAATCTCAGAAATTCCCCCCATCACACATTTCTTTCCACCTCAGCTATATAAGCCTAAACATTTAATTTCTGTCTCATCCCAAGGTACATAAGCTTTATAAACAGAATTGTTCTATTAGATCAATTGATTCAGATTCTGTCCTACCAAATCAATTCTCTCTTATGTTGACTCTTCCTTGTTGTTTTCTACAAATCTTGGATCTCTACCCACTTCCTGTCTACCAAGTTCTTTTTTCTGCTGCAAGGTTTTTGTTACTTGCTTTTTATTTTGTTACTTTTTTCTGTTATGTACTGACATGTTTCTAATCAAAACAACTTTTGTAAATTTGTCATTGGAAGTAATATGCTTTGTGCCAGTGATTGTGCTGTAGGTCTGATGCAATGTATCTCAGTTTTTTGATCTGTACTGTAGAGTTCGCTCACCAACTAACCCTGCTTCCCAAATTGCTGTAAATTATTGTATTGATTACAAGTAATCTGTATTAAAAAGGTTAAAGAGAACAATTTTAAAATTGCAAGCGTGAAAAGTAACCTCAACAAGATATTATGTTACTGTTGCCTCTCACTGTTTTCATTCAGTTCAACCATATTTCCAGGGTACATACTAATTTAAAATTCTGTAGAGCAGGGGTGCCATTTACATGATAAATTTCATCAGCAAGGATTTAGAGAAAAGCACACTTAAGAACTGCAAACGCATTCTTACTTTTATCTGAGTGAACTGTTTAAAATATCTGGATCTGCTAAGTGTTGTGTTGGTATTTTAGATTTTGATTTAACTTGCCTTGGCACGTACTACTTCTGTAATAAGATTGATTAGTAGTTTCGGCATCAAGTATTTGATCTGTTCAGGTTAGGATTCTCACCCTGCTTTTAGTGGTTAGGAGTGTATGTTGAGGAAAATTGTTGGTTGTGGGGGATTTTGGGGGAAACCCATTCCATTTTTGGTGTGTGCACCAGTGGTACAAGGGTAGATTTTTGAACCTGAACACACTATTCCCAATCACTCCAACTGAGATTCAGTTCAGAGGTGCGTTGTTTCCAATGGAAACTACCTTTTTTCAGTGAATTTAGATAGAGATTAGATAGAAGATGTTTCTTATTAATGTTTTTTGTCATAGCACTTTGTATTGCATTATCCACCAATTAAGAATCATGTTATATATAATTTATTATTTAAATGTTTTTGAATAGCTCTCTTAAATGTTATTCCAATCCCTCCCTTGCCTCAGGACTCAAAATAGATGAATTTTGATTCTACACTGCGTGCCAGCCGCCTTTAAATAAATTACTAGTTAAAGAAAAATAAAGTCTATCAGAATCTAGAAAAAAGCACACAATGTCAAGTATTTCATTTTTTGATTGATGACCTATTTTAACAGGAGATGGATGTGGTCACACGCTGTTAGGTCCTGACAGTGGGACGTTAACATCAAGGAATTATCCTGGAACCTACCCAAACCATACCTCTTGTGAGTGGCAAATCCAAGTGCCTGAAGGAAAGAACATTTTTGTCAAATTTGGAGACCTAGATTTGCAGTGTACCTCTGATTACCTCAAAATCTTCAAAAAAACATCTTCATCAATAACTGAACATGGTGAGTTTATGACTGTAATTGTTCAAATTCAGTAAATGACAAGTCTGTCCTGAAGTGGTTGGTTCAAATGAAGTATTAATTGACTTCACTGAAGAAAAATTACTCACAAGTTAAGACTGGAGTGTGTTCACAGAAATGGAATGAAGACTTCAGTGGGTTTTCATTTTTATTCGTTCATTGTTTATGTAAACTATGTTTTAAAGTAGAGATGTCTGCACCCGGGTGAATCTGGACCCGGGTGAATATTGTTGGAGTTTATTCTTTTCACCCATGCTTCCTCACGTTCACTGCAAGAGCTTCCAGCAGCCAAGCAAATCATTTATGAGCCAAAACCTGTGTTTTTTAAATTCAGTTTTGTAAGTAAGTTAGCATGCACAAGTTCAACTGTTAGTATCTAACTGTGATGTGTCAGGCATTGGAAACATCTGTTGATTTCCACCACATTTTTGCATCACCCTCATTAGTGGAGAATAACATGTCGTTGGTCAATCAATTCAATTAAAATTACTTAGTTAAATTTAATCATGGATGAAAAATCCAAAAGCGGAATATTTAGTATGATGATCAACTGTGTGCAATACTAATCCAATCACCTTGTAGTTCCTTTTAGTCCTCGGTTTTATGTTCCTGATGGCACATATAATGGTAAAACAAATAGGAAACTGAAGATCTAGGAAACTTTCAGTTATAGAGCATTTTTTCTCCTGAATATCAAGACGTTTCTTCTCAATAACCAAGAAATCAAAACATTAAACATTTTCTAAAAATAAATGCTTAATGTGGACAAAAGTGTGGACTGAGACACTCAGACAGCTAACAGTTTAATGCCTGACTGCAATAAGGAAACCCAACTCGATCGGTCTGGTTAGAATGGAATCTGCATATGAAATGCCCCTTGTTCTTCTAAATATCTATGGTGCAATTAATCTGGGTTTTAAGGTGGCTGTGACTGTGTATCCCAAACTCACCTCTGGCAGTAACTCAAGTTTACGTGAAATAAAACATCTGTTTTCAATGGAATTATGACTGAAGTCCATTTGATCCCATGATGAGATTCATGCACACTTTTAACTGCTGGCTATTTGCCTGACAAAGATAGCTTGACTAATCTCACAGTATTTTGTGCTTGACTACTTTCCAATTTATTGTAACAGAATGAAGCTTGTGACACCCAGTAGTTTATATTTTACATTATTAAACCATTTAGAAAATCGATTTCATATTTGGTCCTGCGGCAAATATATTAATTTCATCTGTATTTACTTTTCAGATCTCCTTTTAATGGAGTATTATTGTCAGTGTGAAAAACAGTCATTGGTCCAGGAGCTTCATGCTGGTGCTTACGCTCCACATAAGCTTCTTCCCAGCCTTCCTAAATCCATCAAGGTGTCCTTTTGTTCCTTTTTGTCTCACATGCTTTTCTAATTTATCCTTAAATACCATCGATGCTATTCACCTTGACCACTCTTTGTGGTTGAAAGTTGCACATTTTAACCACTGTCTGTGTAAAATGTATATCCTGAATTCCAGTCTGTACATAGTTGGGGAATGGAACTACCCTGAAAGATACACTGTGGACTCATTGGAAGTCCTGACTTGCTGCCCATATGATAATTATCTGGGAAATTCAAATTTCCAATGGGCAATTACCTGGAATATGGAACCTTCCAAAAAATCCCAATTCCAAATTAACAGTCAGAGTTATCCAGTTACCCAGGAAAAGATGGTGGAATTATAAAATCTGTGCTGATTCCTGAATAACTCTGCAAAATTGACTACCCTTCTCCTCCTCATTTACTCCGACCTTCCTGCTGCTCGTCTCCCTGCGCTCCCCACCCTAACCTGTACCACCCTCTCCGTTCACCCACTTACCTTCCAACTTACCCATCTGACACCCTCACTTACCCCCACATCTGTCACCCTATCCCGTCACCAATGTACCTGCCCCTTACCTCCTCGTCCATTTGCCACCTTTCATCCTTGTCCATCTGGCAAACAATCCTCTTATCCACCAGGCACCAACTTTACTTGTACACTGACCTACTCCCAGTAGTTTTGTAGCTCAGTGTCTTTGGGACACTTGAACAGTGTTTACTCACTGTAACATGGCAGTTACTGCTGTAAAAAGGCATAGCTGCACCTGTGATTCACTCCAATGTTGCATGTATGGCTTGCTGCACTGAGTCTGTTGATGGGTGGATTGTGCATTGGAGGTTAGGCACAAAGAATTTGGAGAAAGTTGCAGTTCCTCATGCCCTTTCTCCATCTTCTTCCTCAATAACCACCTGTATTTTGCAGCCAGTCAGACACTGCAGAGAACTTGACTGCATTTCAGTGAGTTATTGAATCACCAAAGTGAGGATTTCTTCCATCTTGTGCAAACAAGGCTATTTATTGAAGAAGGGTCTAGACCCGAAACGTCAGCTTTCCTGCTCCTCTGATGCTGCTTGGCCTGCTGTGTTCATCCAGCTCTACACCTTGTTGTCTCTATTTATTAGGGGAATGTTATATCCAAACCCAAAACAGGTAAACTGCTAGATTGGTCTGCATATGAATGGGCACAGTTCTTTAATAGAGAACAGTGCTGAAAAGTGGAAAAGTGATTTATTTTACTACTTTTCTAGGTTTGCAGCTACATTTGACTTAGTACTTTTTAAATTATTCGTCAGTCAGTCAGTATATAAATTTAAGGAAACACATAGCTTTCTCTTTCCACCCAAAACATGCTCTTTTCATATTCATGCTTTGACATGTATTCTCTATTAAAGCTAGACTGGTCTTGATTTTACAAATTTTTCTCAAATTAAAGTAAATTTATTCATACCGCTTTTCAGCCTACTAGAGAAAAAGTGATTGTGGTTTAAAGTGGAATTGAACCAAGTCAAATGTATCCAACCGTGTTTAATGAACAGTGATGTATGACTCAGTCAGACTCTGTGCATGTCAAAATGAGCATTTGGCATATTGACCTGATACTTTCCACCCATTTCAATTTGATAATTAACTGCTATTTGCTTGTACCCAACCCCCACCTCCCATTAGACAGTGAACAATTTGAGCCAACAGGCCTGGGTGTTTTTTTTTGCTGGTCACCCTGCAGTTAGTTGTCTGCCTTTTGAAGCAAATGAGTGGAAAACTATGAAATGGATATGTCCAAAGCTGATATAAGAGCAAAGTACTGTAATTTCTTCAAATTGAAAACCACAACCTGGAAGTACTGAACAGATCTGGCAACATCTAGGAGAGAGAAACCGAGCTAATCTTTCAGGTTGTTGACCTTTTGTCTGCCTTGCATTTTTTTTTCAGTACGTTCATTCTTGCACTGTGGATGCTGTTAGCAAGGGTGGCATGTATTGTCCACCCATATTTCCCCTGAGAGGGTGGTGTGGACTTTCAGAGATCAAGTCAAAAGTTAAGGAGATTAGTGAGGGACTAAATTCATGTATAGATCTTCTGCTTCAAACTTCCCCCTGGTTTGCTGAACTATTTTCGGTCCCCCCAAACCCCCCTCCCTCTCTCTGTGTCTCTCCCCCCTCAGGCTCTCTCCTCGGTAACTTTGTATCACATCCTCACTCACTCAGTCACTCACACATACACTCTGTCTCTCTCTCCCCTTTTTTTAGCCCAACCCCTACCCCCCAAAAGCGCCTTTCAAGGAGTGATGTTGTATGATGTACTATGACGAGCGTATTACCTGAATCCTCTCTATCTGGTACCCTCACCCCACATTCTAGTCTCTGTTTTTTATTTGCACCAATCTTAGACATTGAAAGCATGGAAAAAAAACTATGAATGAAGTTGCTTATTGTGTTGCTTTTTGACTGACCCAGTAGGAATTACATCGGAACAGCTTTGGTGAATTGCTGTTTAATTTCTCTTACTGTGGTGGGAAACAGTGTTTGATGTCTCCTTGGCACACCAAAGATTTGCAAATCCCATATAGAGATTTTTGTGTTAAACAATATTCTATTTATTGTGGCATAATGTATCTTGGTAGCACGATATCTGATAATGACAGCAAGTCCTTTCTCTGCTTGATGGATGTGCTGGAGTGCCTGTTCCCTGATGGTAGACTTTTGTCTATATGTCATAGTGATGATTTGCTAGAAAGCTGTAGAAATTAGATGCTTTGGGGAATAAATGGTTCTAGATCGTTGTCTTGCTGCACTATTTTCCAACATTGGTGAGGGATGTAGTGTTTAAAAGGAAGGAAGAAAAACTTTAGTACTTTATCATAGCAGAGAAAGGTCTCAAAGTGCTTTGCATAAATTGCTTTGTTTGGAGTGATGTCAGTGACTGTAATGCCGACATGGAAGCCCCACAGAATCTGCTAGACAGCAATCAGATGAATGACCAGTTAATCTGCTTTGGTGATTGGGCAGGATATCAGAGAAATTCTCTGAATTTAATTGAACTCTGAAATAAGCTTCCAACCATATTTGTACCATCACTAAAGTAATCTCGCTACCTCTAGTATCACCTGAATTTGTCTCTTTCAGCTCTCTGCTGGAACCCCACTTCTTTGTTACCGCTAGACTTCATTTATTCCTAAATACTTCTGTTGGGTTGCCAACAATCAATCCTTCATGAACTTTCACTCTTCCAAACATCTGCCTGAGTCTAAACTTATTGCAATTCCCTTTTCCCTGGCATCCCATCCTCACTGACCTACATTCACTCTCAGTCAAGCAACATCTTGATTTAAGAAAAAGCTCATCCTTGTTTTCAAATTCCCCCTTGACTAGGCCATTCCTTATCTCTGCAATCTCATCCAGCATCTCAGTTCTCCAACAGCACCTTCTAAACCTATAAACTCTACCACCTACAAGTCCAAGATCAGCAGTTGCATGAAAACAACACCACATGCAAGTTTTTCTCCAAGCCACTTACCATCCTGACATGGAAATACATCACCATTCCTTCACTGCTGCTGGGTCAAAATCCTGACCTCCATTCCTTATAGACCTGTGGGTGTCCCTGTACCCCATATACAGCAGGAG